ATGCAGTTTTTCTTCCTGCTCGCTCCCCTCTTTCCTCTTTCCCCCCTCCCCTCCCAGTCCCCTCCGTGCTACCTCCTCACTCCCGTTGCAGCCCCGTCGCCGCCTCCCTCGTCCTCCCTGGTGCTCTCCGTCCTCCCTCCTGTCACCCTCCCCGTCGTTTTCTCTCGCCTCCCGCCCGCCCGCCCTCCCTCCTCTGCCATCCTCGTCCCTCCTTCCCCCTTCTTAAGGCAGGACTGATGAGGAGGATGAGCCTCCCGGCCCCCGGTCTCGAAGCCGGCCCGGGCCCCCCCGGTGTCCCCGACCCGCCGCATCCGGCGGCCGTTGGCCAGCCACGCCCCGCGCGCTCCGTGCCGCGAGTGGGCCCAGAGGCTCTGCAGAGGGCGCGGGGGGGGGGGGGGCGTGTCCTCGCCCAGATGGCGGGCCTCCGTGCGGGCATCGAAGGCGGCAGCCTCGACCAGCCTCGCCTCGGCCCAGAGGGGGCCATGTGATGTCCCCTCGGATTCCATGGCCCCCTCGTTTTCTTTGTCGCTCTGTTTGTTGTGATTCAAATGTTGAATGTTTTCTTGTTTCTGTTGTCGCTACTCTTTGTCACTGCCCTCGTCGTCGTAAGATGTGTTGTTATTCAAATTCGAAGGTTCGTGTTATTCTTTCGGCTCGTCCCCCTTGTTCCCCGACCCCTCGTCGGCGCACGTACCTCCCGCAGTGTTTTGCGACCCCCCGCGAGGAGGAGGAGGAGGAGGAGGAGGAGGAGGGATGCAAGGGGACGGCCGCGGCGAGCCTGCCCGCTCGCGGGGCGGCGGACGAGGCGGCCGCGGAGCATCGACCCCTCGCGCCGTGCAGCAGCAATCAGCCACGGGCAGAGGGGGGCGGGGGGAGGGGGGAGGGCTTCTTAGAGTCAGGGGCAACGGCAGGAGGGGATAGGCATAGGGGGGGACGTATCGACCCCCACTCGCCCATGGATCGCCGAAAGGGGCGCGATAGCCCCAACCTGCCCAGGAAGGGTCGGATTCACGATCGCAGGCCTATCGCCGATCTATCGGCGATGTATCGGCGATTCCAGGTCGATGCATCCCCCCTTTGCCAGTCCCCCCTTATCGCGGCCCCTCGTAGAAGCACCCCTGCTTCTTAGAAGGCGCGGGCCTTATCTAGAGATGCATGGCCGGCGCCTCCCAAGAAGCAGCCTCCGTCTAAGAAGCCCTCCCCCCTCCCTCCACCCCCTTGTGCGCGCCGCCAAACAAATCATGGCGGGATTCGGCGGCAATTTGTGGGAGCCTGGCGGTGGCCCAGCATGGGTTCCTGCCAGCAGGAAGGGCGGGCAGGTGCGAGATTCCGGGTTCGGGCATTGGGTTCGCCTTTCTCTCCGGGGAGCGTTTTCGGGCCCCAGGATCGTGAACAGCAGGGTGAAGAATTGCACCAGATGGACCCGGGAGGGGTCTGGGGACCGATCTTGAGCGGTATTCGGTCTTCGCAATTCCGTCTTTGGTGTGCGTTAGCGTGGTTTGGCGTCTGGTGACCGATGAGAAGGCTCCGACTCGGCGTCGGTTCGGCGTCGCTTGGCGTCGATATGCTTAGCACCGATTGGCGTCTGTCTGGCGTCGATGCGGCAAGATGGCACGGGATGCTCCCAGGACTTGCCGCGGAAGCGAGAGACTTCTGCTCGTCTGGGGGCCATCAAGGGGGTGCTGCCCCAGGGGAGCCAGGAGCCTCCAGGAGGGCTCGAAGTTGTTCGTGCTTCGCGGGTCCTCTTCGTCCTCGTCGTCCTTGTCGTCCTTCTCGTCTCCCCAAGGTCGGGATCCCGCAAAGGTGTGTGTGTGTGTGTGTGCCACGTGTTTGTGTGTTTGTGTAAGTGTGTGTGTGTGTGTAAGTGTGTGTGTGTAAGTGTGTGTGTGTAAGTGTGTGTGTGTGTGTAAGTGTGTGTAAGTGTGTGTGTGTGTGTGTAAGTGCGTGTGTGTTTGTGTGTAAGTGTGTAAGTGTGTGGGTGTGGGTGTGGGTGTGCGTGTGGGTGTGGGTGTGGGTGTGTGTGGGAATAAGAGAGAGAGAGAGAGAGAGAGTTCGATCGGTTTTCGCACCGAGCCACCCAAAACAGATGCCCCCCAGCCGATGGCAACTCCTGATAGTTGCCGATAGGTGGGACATGCGGGGGGCATTTGTTTGCGGCAGTTCGGTGCACCAGCGGATTGAGCTCATGCCTTCCCTCAGGGTCACCCCTCCTGTGGTGGATCTCGACGAGGGGGGCGGCGCAAAAGCGCGAAGTTGTTCGCGCTTCGCGCAGCACGAAGCGCGAGGTTGGCTGCCCTTGTCCAGAGCCAGTCCCGGGGGATGCGGTCTGGACCTCTGGTTAAGTCGGGCTTGTCCCTCTACAGGGGGAATATTCAAAAATAGTTAGGAAAATTGTCTGGGGACTAGTTTTGACCATGTTTGGGCATGTTTTTTTTTTTTTTTTTTTAGTATTTTCAATCTTTCGTTCAAAATCCTCCTGTAGGAGGACGTCCCCGACTTAAACCTCTTGGGGTCCACGTCGGGACACCAAAACGCGACTCGGAAGCTCTGCCTCGCGCCCGTGGCGCGAAGCCTCCCTCGCTCGCGCGCCAGGCTCTGCTTCCCTCGTCCCGTTCGGGTGCTGCTCAACAGCGCCCAGAACACGCCCCTCCCCCCAGCCTTCTCTCGCAGGCCTGGAGTTGTTCTCGTCGACCGTCTGGGGAAGCGATGCCCCAGGATCGCCCGAGGCGGTGGATACAGTGGAGGCCCATGCCAAGAAACACCCTGCTTGCCTCCAGGGTGCCCAGCGTTTCTGGTGCCTCTCCTGCCTCCTCCTGGTGTTGCCCGGGGTGGCCCTGGCCCAAGGCCAGGCGGTCCCAGCTTTGGCGCGGAGGCCCGGATGGCCTCAGGAGCACCCCGCGCGCAACGCCCAGAGGGGGCAGGGCTCACAGAGGGAGCGACAAGCTGGGGAACAGGGTCGGACGAATGGGGGTGGGAGTAGGGAAAGGGAGGGGTACTCACGAGATCGCCTCGCCACGGCAGCTGGTTCCGGCCTCGTCACCGGGCGCCCCTCCTCGATGCAATAGCGCCTCCGGGCGCCAGGAGGCGCCGGGAAGAACAATTGCGTGAGCAGATTATTCGCTAATCGCCTCTTTCCCTGCCCTCCCTTTTCCTTGAAATCTGCGCCATGCAGTTTTTCACTCCACGCTTTTTCGGCCAGAATCAGGCCCCAGGACCATCACATACCGGCCTGGTTCGAAAATTATTCTCGGGAAGGGCCCAAACATTTGCAGTTGTGAGTGCCGTGTTGTGGTACCGCTTTCGGTGGAGCTCTCTATGGGGCCACGAACCGTGTGAGGGGTGCGCCAAAGTGAGGCGGCACCGCCATACGAACCCCGCCACTGGGGCCTTCGGTGGTGCACACGATGGGGCCACGAACCGTGTGAAGGGTTCGCCAAACAGGTGCGGCGCCGCCATGTGGACAATGCCTCTGGGGCCTTCGGTTGATCTCCCTATGGGGCCACGAGCCGTGTGAGGGGTGCGCCGAAATGGGAAGGGGCCACCATGCGGACCCTGACACTTGGGGCCTTGGGTTGAGCTCCCTATGGGGCCACGGACCTTGTGAGGGGTGTGCTGAAATAATGCGGGGCCGCTATGCGGACCCTCCCTTTGGGGCGTTGGGTAGAGCTCTTTATGGGGCCACGAACCGTGTGGTGGGTGTGCCGCAATGGGCGGGGCCGCCATGCTGACGGTCCCACTGGGGCCTTTGGTGGAGCTCTTTATGAGGCCACGAACCGCGTGGTGGTTGTGCCGAAATGGGTATGAAGAGGCCACGAACCCTATGAGTGGTGTGCCGAAACGGGGCGGGGCCGCCATGCGAACCTTGCCATTTGGCCTTGGGTGGAGTTCCGTACGGGGCCACGATCCGTGTGCGGGGTGTGCCGAAATGGGGCGGGGCCGCCATGCGGACCCTTCCACTGAGGCCTTCACTGGAAATTGTGGACTCGGAGGAATGAAGTAGGAACGGGCGGAAGGATGACGGAGCGGGAGGATGATCACGACGAAGACGATGTTAATGTTGATGTTGATGATGAGGTGGAGTACCTTGTGGGGCCACAACTTTGAGGGGTGTGCCGAAATGGAGGCGGTATCGTATGCGGACCTTGCCAATGGAGCCTTCGGTGGAGCACCCTATGGGGCCACGAAGTGCGTAAGGGGTGCGCCGAACTAGGGGCGGTTTTACATGCGGACCCTCCCACTGGGGCCTTCGATGGAGCACCCCATGGGACCACGAAGCATGTGAGTGGTGCGCCGAACTGGAGGTGGAACTGCATGCGGGCCCTGCCACTGGGGCCTTCGGTGGTACACACGGTGGGGCCGCGAAACGTGTGAGGGGTGCGCCGAAATCGATGGGGAACTGCATGCGGGACCTGCCACTGGGGCCTTCGGTGGAGCACCCCATGGGGCGACGAAACGTGTGAGGGGTGCGCCGAAATCGACGTGTAATTGCATGCGGGACCTGCCGCGGGGGCCTTCGGTGGAGCACTCTACGGCGCCACGAAACGTCTGAGGGGTGCGCCAGATTGGGGATGGAACTACATGCAGACCCTGCCACGAGCCTTGGGTGGAGCACCCTATGGGGCCACGAAGCGTGTGAGGGGTGCGATGGACTGGAGGTAGAACTGCATGCGGAACCTGCCACTGGGGCCTTCGATGGAGGAGTGCGCCGACGTGGAGGTGGAACTGGTGACGATGAGGACATGCGGAAAGCAGAGGCAAGGTATGGGAGGAGGGAGGGGGGGGAGGAGGAGAGGCGCGGGAACGCGGGGTGCTGTCTCTTCAAAACGAGGACCCAACACCACATGATGGTTGGGAACATGGCAGCCAAACGATGGGCTCTGGAGCTTTTGTCGTGATCTCTTGCGATGTTGCCATCGCAACGTCGGTCATCAGGGCGCGCCCGACCCGAACGATCTTCCCTCCTGCCTGCTCCTGCCTCCGTGCAAAGCCGCCGCCCAGAGGAGCCCGGGCCTGTGCTTTTCGGCCGGCGGCTCGTCCATGCTCTTCGTGTCGCTCCTGGTGCTCTACCTCGGTCGCGCGGGGTTCGGGGCGTCTCCCTGCTGCCTGGGAGGAGCAGCATGGCGACGACGAGGGGGCAGAGGCGGAGGAGGAGCGGGCGCAGGAGCAGGAGCAGGCGCAGGCGCAGGAGCAGGAGCTGGAGGAGCAGAGCAAGAGCAGGAGCAGGAGCAGGAGGAGGAGGAGGAGGAGGAGGAGGAGGAGGAGGAGGAGGAGGAGGAGGAGGAGGAGGAGGAGGGGGTGGAGGAGGAGGAGGAGGTGGAGCAGGAGGAGGGTATACAAAAACAGACCTCGGTTGGACCGAGTAGCTCAGTCCTGTGTTTTTTCCTGCGTCTCGGTTCCTGGGGACCGCATTTAGGGGGCAGTTCGAGATAATCCTACCTGGGAGCGGCCACGGTTCTGTCACGGCAAACGTGAGCTTTCGCTGGGGGGGGGATCTTGCGCGTGCGCCCCCCCCCTCCTGGCGTGTGCGCCCTGTGGTCTGGGGGCTGTCCCACGGTCCGGGCTGCGGCTGCCAGTCCGGGCGGACCAGACGGGGGGGTCCCGAACAAAGCCATCTGGAAGCGCCCTGTCCGAGCCCAGTTCGGCTCTCGCTCTTCTGGGAATCCTCTCCTCCCCCCCTTTTCCCACTTGTGATCTTTTTCCTCCTCCCCCCCTGGCTCCTCCCCTCCACACCGCTGCGCTATCCTCCACAATCCTGTTCTCCCCCACCCGATCCCTTTCGCCTCCGTCCCATCTCGCCCCCTGTGCCACCACCCTCCCCCCGTCTGGCCCCCCGACCCCCCCCCCCGCCCCTCCCCTCTCCCGTCCCTCACTCCCCCATTCCTCTACCTCCGAATCCCTCGCTCCTGCCGAGCCGGCTCGAAGGGACCCGCGAGGGCCCTTCCCGTGCCGCTGCCAGTGCCCGAATTGTCTTTCCCACGCCTTCGTGTCCTTGCCAGTTGTAGCAGGGCCGTGCGGTTCTGTCAACGTCTACCCTCTGCCCCCTCCCGAAAGAGAGTACAGTCACGACGTTGAGATGAGGACCCTTTTGGTTTCAGGAGGATCTGGTTTCTAGGCTGCGCTTAAAATTCTAGGTCGGGAGACCTGTTCGTGGCTGTGCCGTGGCCAGAAAAGTTCCTTCGTTCCTTATTCAATTGTCCCTCTGGTAGCACGATAGTTGTAGCACTTCTGGCCCAAGCGAGGGTCTCGACAAGAAAGCCCCCCGAGTAATCACCGACAAAAGCATATTGCAAGTCCTTCCATAGTGGTACAGGGCCGCCGCCATCACAATGTGCACTGCTGCCCGCTGTCTTCTGATGTCCGCACTTGCCGGCGCCGCGGGCGCGAGCGTCGATCGCGCTATCGTGCGCTCCGAAGGCAGTGCAGCGCTCGATGTAGAGAGGGCCGCTGGGCCAACCACGGGCGGAAAATGCATCAACGAGGGGGATTTCTCCGTCGGGAACCACTGCGTGTACCTGTCGGGGTCGAAGCTGGACGATTTCCAGGCTGCCACCAAGCAGGATTTCGGCAACCCGAGCGAGTGGTGCGTGTGCCTGCACCTCTACAGGTCGTGGGGCGGGGGCGGCGGTGATACCTCCGCCTGCTCCAAGGGCGCTCTGGAAGCCACCGATCGCTAGTATTTAGTATTCAGCAGCTCCGGGTTGAGTCCGCGTCCGACGGGGGCCCCGCGACGGGACAATCTGGATCGCCACGACCTCTGAGTGCAGTTGCCGAGAGCCATTGCTCACCTCGGCTGAGCGTAAGAGTGTCCCTCCGTCAGCGTGACCTCTGTCCTTCGGTGCGGGCCCATTGGGGTCCCCCGAACACTGGCCTGGCTTGCGCGCTTAGGGCTGGCCCCCCCCCCTCCGCCCCCCGCCGTCCCCTCTTGCGTGCACTCCGCGCGGGCACGCGATCGCTGTGCTCGCGGAGTGCGCCGCCCAGCTCCGCGTCCGGGTAGCCGCGCGGCCGAGTTTTCCGCGCACCACGCTTTCTCGTGAGCCTTCGGCGACGGGGCCTCAGAGTCTGTGCGAGCCGAGGCACGGCCCGTGAGTCGAGCTGATCCCAGGGATTCTCCCTGCGCCTCGCGGCAGTGCAAAAGTGTCCGTCGTGTTCTGCCATGCACCGGTGGAGCAGGGGTGGGGAGATGGCGGGACGGAGGATGAGAAGGAGGGTCAGTGCAGGACGAGCTGGGACAAAAGTAGTCGGCCTTCGGGGGGGCCCTCGTCGCCACGCTTGGACGCAGCTCGGCTAACTGGCCCGTTGTCTTAGTTTGTGTCATTTCGAGAGGGGGTCGGCAGGAGCAAGGAGAAATCAGGAGCAGACGCAAGAGCAGGTTCAAGAGGAGGAGGAAGAGGAGGAGGAGGAGGAGCGGAACGAGGAAAAGTGGAGGATGAGGAAGGAGGAAGCGGCGGGAGTAGGATGTGGGTGGAGGAGCTGAAGGCGGCGCTAGGACAAGCAGCGCGAGTATGAGCTGAAGGAGAGTATGCACGATGAGTTTGCAGGAGCGTGGAAGGGGGGGAGCAGACGGGGGAGTGGGGGATATTCGCTTATGGATGTATGCACTCAACGTGGCGCCTCGTGGAATGTTCACAGGCGGCTCGACACATTGGCCTTCTCAAGTTTCGCGTTGGATCCCAAACTGCGCCGTGGTCGAGGTCGATCACAGCGCAAGTGGACAGAGTGGGCACGGCACGAATCTAGCAAAGATTATCCGCAGCCTGGAACGTTTCCTTTGGTAGCGTTCAAAAAACGCATCCATTGATTAAACGCGGGATACTTGATGGGTGATGTATGTGGTTCTAGTGTTGTCCTACATTCAAGGCGTTGAAAGAAAACATGTTAGGTTCTGAAGGGGCTCGCAGTTCATTGGGTCCTTACGTGTTTGCTCCCCGCGCACTTCTCGTGCACGTGCGTTTTTTGGCTACAAGACGGCTTCATGCCTTCTTGAGCGTACCTTCTGGTGGCAGCCTGAGTGTAGCCGCCATTTCTTTCTTGCCTGTGCGCTACGTTGCCGTAGCGTCTCACGCCCTCCGTCTCCGCTTGCGGAGCGAGGTGCTTCCATAGAGTCCTCGACCAGTCTTGAGTTGACTTGAGCTGGGTGGATACACTCGGGGCGTTGGAATTTCGAACGCTTTTGACACCTTGGGTTCCTTGAGCTCCTCCTTGGGATTCCCCGTAGCCTTCCCGAGTATCTCGACTAAAAAGTGGGCGGAATGAGAACCCGACTCCCGAACAGCAACGTTGCATCAAGGGTTTGATTATGAGTGGATGGATGGGCGTGGCAAACATGATTCGGGCTATGCTGGGCATGCACACGAGCCTGGCCATGATCAGGAGAGGCGTGTGAGATGTGGAGGTGTGTCTTGTTGCGCGCGGCAAGTCCTTCCCCACGGACTCCAGTCGGAGAGCACCGCGGGGCGAACTAAGCACAGAAGACATACACGCGTGGCATGGCGAGTGAGCAAGAGGGGGGAGGAGCAGGAGGAGGAGGAGGAGGAGGGGAGGAGGAGAGAGGGAGGGGGAGAACGGTGAGGATGGAGATGTAGGCAGAGAGGGCGAGGCGGGAGAGGATGGTAAAGCGGGGAATGAGTAGAGAGGGTGGACCAGGAGGGGGAGTGAGAAGGCAGGATCAGGGAGAAAGATAAGAAACTTCAAGAAGAGATGAAGTCGGGGAAGCAAAAGGGCAGGATGGATATGTAAATGAGCGAAAACACAGACAGGTGCTGCTGGGCTGGCTTGCCAGAGGGTGTAGTAGGTTCCACGTCAGTTGCCTGCTACAGTGCCCTGCGACTAGATATACCATCGCACGCCAGTGCGAGACAGGCCTCTTGCACGCCTGAGGACCTGTCAGGACTAAGGGGTTCACTTGCATGGCATCGCGGTCTCACGATGCCAGTCCAATCGTTCCCTGGGCATACGACACAATTTCACTACACGACGTCTGGCATCAAGGCGAGGAGGAACTGTGCTGGCAGAGGCAGAGCAGGGTATGATCAACAGGAGTCGACACACGCGGACGACCCACCGGCGAGGCAGGATGGTTCAGCGCCGAGAGAACACTGCAACGCCATGAAGGAAAGTGTTCTTGAAGGAAACGGGTCCTGGAGCTTCCTGGCTGTTTTTGCTGACGAGCTCACGGAACCCTCCACGGGCCCCGGCACCAGCAACACATTGTTCGTGACATAAATTGGTTTTGCGAAAAGCTCCGGGGGTTAGGACCCGTTTCTGTCAGGACCTTTTGTCTTCACGGATGGCATGTGTGCCCAATTATCTGATAGCTGGTATCGTTGATTTCGCAGTTCACCCACGAGAGTACTACGCAGGGAGGCATCCGGGCCTTTTTTGCTTAGATCTGGCAGATTGTTTTTGCGAAGTCTCTTTTCGCAATCCTCTAAGTTCCACGCCGCGCTTCGCCTTTCTGGCCCATCCTGAGTCTGAAGCGTCCTGTAACAGGCTGCAGGGGGAACCACCTACAGATTGCTTTGTGTGTCGAATCATGACTTTGTTTTTTATTGCATATCTGTGTTTGAGTGAGTTTTGGTCTCGCGACAGGGTGCTTCTAACTCGCCATTGTCAGCCCCTGTCTACTTCTCGTGCCCTATCTGAGTTAGATTTGCCGACCTCGGCCGCAGTACGCGTGAGTCATGTCGTTCCCGCGCACCGCACAGCTTTTGTGTCCCTCGTACTTGCGGGCAGGAAAATTGCACAACGCGATGATGTTGGCAATTGTTTGGCTGTAGCATGACATTCGCGGAATGTTTGGACAATTTGCAGTTCGAAATTCTATGAGACGCTGGCACACGCGAACACAATTTGCAGTTCGAAACGTGCGCACGCGCAAAACATATGAGACGTCGGCAGGCGCGTCGGACACTCCTGCAACGAATGCAGGGACCACGCGTTGCGCAATTATCGTAGCATTACGCCTTGCATGCCGAATGTGGCGATTTTGTTTGCGAAGCCTTTGCTGTCTCTCATTCAGCGATCGTTCCGTGCGCCCTCCCGGACCAAGGGACAGAGGCACCTCTCACGTATTGACGGGTAGCAGCCATCGTGGGCCTGTCATCAGCAGACTCTGGGACGAGGCCGCCTCCTGGCTCTCCCACTGGGCCTGGTTGGGTCACGGGGGAACCCCCACAGGTGTGCAGAGCCAGGGCATGGCCAGGGCTGTGGCCTCGGCGTTGGTAGACACGCTTCTCTCCACGGAGTCCGAACGTGTTGAATTCATCGGCGAGCGCGACTTTGATGGGCCTCTGTTGAGACCATACGCGAGGTGTACCCTGTGACGTTCCGGCGCTCGCTGCAGCAACCACCGTAGAAATACATCAATAGTAGAAGTGTGGCTCCAACTTGTAATTTGGCGCGTTTTTTCTTCTGGCGCCATCAACCCCTTGCGCATCCCCCGTTCTTTATTTTACTCAAGCGGGTCGACGCTCAGTCTCACATTCTTGTGTGGAACTGTTGATGCCGAGTTTCAGGCGATACTTACTAGTGGTCCCCGCATGTGTACCCTTTGGTGATTTCCCAGTGCTCATTCCCAGAGGGAGTGTGGTCGATTCGATGCCGCTTCGCTTCAGGGGTATATTGACTGACATGGTGTCTTAAGCCAGTCGCGGCCACGACAGCCTTATCGATGCAATTCTCTGAAGGGCTGTACCTAGCCAGTGGATTAGTCGTCATCGGAATGGTAGTAGTTGTTTCGAGCTTCGTGGGGCCCATCCAAGCTTCGTGTTGGGTTTATGAACCCATGCATCAGCATCAGCCAGGGATGGTGCGCATATGTCGTTCAGCGTTGATCCAAGGGCAAGTTTGTGGATATTCTTTGCATGACGCTTATAGAAAGAGTTCGAGGATCTTTGCACGGGGGTGCTATTACTAGTGGGGTGCTTGTTATTTGTTGTGGGGCGCACTTGCGCTTAACAGTTTCTGAGGAAACAATGTGGAGACCGCTAGAGCAGCTCCCACGATCTACCTCACCAATTTGCACTAGTCAGAGTCATTCCACCGTCTCTGCGGATAGGGCTGTAAGGGTTGTTGGTTTTTGATCTCCAGCGAAAGCGAACATCTATTTCATCGAGACATGCAGCGGTCTAGAACATGGTCACCTTGATCAACGCATGTTCAAAACTATCGCATCAAACCGTTACCTGCTCTACGTTGCAATATTTGGTCATCCGTTTGGTTATCTCCCATTGTTGTTATTCTACGCTGAGGCGGGTTAGCATGTGTATATATATACATATGTATATATATATTGAGAGAGAGAATGAGCGGGGAGGGAGAGAGGGACATGGACAAAGGGGAGGGCGAGAGGGAGGAGGGTGGAAGAGCGGGGAGGGGGCGAGTTGGCGAGGCGAGGTGTGTGCGTGTCGTGGCCTCCGCTTGTTTTCGCACTGTAACCGTGACCACCGGATGTGGTCTGGCAAGCGTCGGGATCTGGCGCGTCCTTTCCGCAGAAGGTACCTATACACTTGGCCAGCGCCATCCTGGGCCACAGGACAGATCGTAGACCCTCTTGGCCTCAGCCAGGGCCCAGGATATGTTTGGCGAGGCATGGTGGTGGTGTACAGGTGCCTTCTGCGCTTGGTGACTGGTGGGCAGAGCGTTCTGCTGTTTGGCGGGACGTGTGGGAAGTCCTATCTAGACGATTACGGAGTCGATCCCACGACGCTGCGATTTTGGGAAGCGTTTGGCCAGTCATGCATTCGCGGCTTGGTATGATGCGTCGTCTCCTTGTTTGCGGGGGGGGGGTGTTGCTCGAGTGTGGTCGTCGGTTGCTTCCATCCCTTCTTGTCTACCCGGCACGGCTGCCCTGCAAAGAAAAACAACTGGCAGGTGACAGGACCAGAGGCGAGAAGCTGTGAGGTGCGCAGCTCTTGCTCAGGCGACCCCCCTCCTGCCAACGCATGATCCACTTACTGGCCGAAGGGCTGTAACATTGGTTGCAGTTGACGGTGCTTTTTTAGTGGCATGCGAAACATGATTTTTCGACGGGTGGATTTCTGCGGCGAGGACTATCACTTTTCGACGCTTCGCGCATTCCCACCGGCTGGCCCGGACACCCTGCTCGCCGCCTGCCTCTTCGCTGGCGGCCGTGACCGAAAAAAAGTATTCCCACCGGCTCACCTAGAAACGAACCCCAAACGACTTGTCCTTCCTGTCCAGGAAGTGCAGCCATGTGCTGTGAATGTTGAGGGAGATTAGTCGGTTTGTATCGGAGGTTGGGGGGTGAGATCGCAGTGAAACGGAGACCCCCCACCGGGAAATCGGTTTCGGTTTCGTGCTCGTGTTGTGCGTGCGGACGAGGCGAAGCTGCGCGTGATCCTCCTGTAGCTAGGCCGAAGTAGGAGCGAAAGTCCGTTTCCCGTCCGCCGGTGGCCGGGAGGTGTCTCAGTTGGGCCTGGCGGTGTCCCGGGTGTCCTGGGTGTCAGTAGGAGCGAAAGTCCGTTTCCAGTCCGCCGGTGGCCGGGACGTGTCCCAGTTGGGCGGGGCGGTGTCCGGGGTGTCCCGGGCGAGAGAGGGAGAGAGACAGAGAGAGAGAGAGAGAGACAGAGAGAAAGAGAGAGATGAGATCAAGGTGACAGGCTGGAGGTCAGTTAGGGTGGGCATTTGATCTCAATCCCCCCTACTTCCTTATCGTCCGCAGGGCGGTCGTATAGGTATGGTACATTTTGATATACAAGCATGTACGCAGCTTATTTCGACGGGGAAGGATTACGAGGAGGATGAGGACGATGACGCGGTTACAAAGAGGATGACGATGATAATCGTGATGACGATGATGATGCTGATGAGGAGGAGGGGAGGAGGAGGAGGAGGAGGGGGAGGAGGAGGAGGAGGAGGAGGAGGAGGAGGAGGACTACCAGGGAGCAAGGCGAGCAACACCCTACGGGAGGACAAGCAGGACGGGGAGGAGGAGGAGGAGGAGGAGGTGGTGGTGGTGGTGGCTCAGTTGGGGGCCCTCAGTCTGTCTCTGCAGCTGCTCGGGTGGCCCCTCCGTTCTATACGGAGGCTGGGCTGCCTGCAGGGCGCAGGCCGCCACGGCATGAGGCGACACGGCGAGGCCCGCCCGCGCGTGATGCCCCGTCGGCGGGGAGGATCCCCAGTGGGTAGAGGTAAAGTGGGAGAGTGCGAAGGCTCGGGGCGATTTCCCTCTAGTGGGGAGGATCCCCTGAGTCTAAGCCGCCTCCCCCTGGATATTCAGTATCGGGAGCGGCGCGAGCTGCCTCTCGAGGAGGCGCGCCGTTGCCACCAGGGGTGGCGTCACATGAAATCTGGTCATATTGCAACAAATCGTGGAGCGCCTGCCTGTACTCTGTCACTTGTGTCAAGAGTCTCTTGGCATGCTCGCTCCCTCCTGCCGCCATAGCTCTGAGTGTCTGCTGTCTCCTCGGGTCGTGCGCGATGTCGCGCACTGTCTGTGAAACACGGCTTCTCAGTACTTTGTGATCGTCCCTTGCTTGATGAGCGCTTTCAACTGTGCCTCGACGACCCTCTCCAGCTCTGTTTTCGGCCCCGCGCCCATCGGCATCACGCCCTTCTGCAAGAACCACGCGTGGTTCAGCGCCTCCCTGAGGATGTTGGGTGTGAACTGGCGTGGCGTGATGATGTCGGCCTCTGCCACTTTGTCCAGCCTCAAAGCCGTCTTGTAGTCTGCCATCGGCCTGATGCCGTACATGACTTTGTACATCTCCTGCATGTCGCTCTCCCTCTGGTAGGCCTTCTTGATGCGGAAGAGGCTGAACGTGGCGTCGACCAATCTCTGACCGTGGTCTCCGCTGGCCACCTGCACCCACTCCGAGAGGCTACCTTTGCTCTCCGCCTGATACTTGTCGCTCTTGTCCAGCAGGTCCGCCGCCTTCTCCACCACCGACATCGCGATGTGCACGTGCGGCGGGCCCTGACCGTGCCCTTTGCCGAGGCGCTTGACCGTGGCATTGTAGTCCTGTCCTGTGGCGGCCCCGGCCTGCACCAAGGCTGAGTCTCCTGGCACTAGCCAGAAGTCGAAAACCCCGTTCGCCAGGTCCCTGTTCTCCTGGCTGTTCCTCAGCACCAGCTTCTGCACCGTGACGAGGGCCTCCCTCATGTCGACGCCGTCCTGGTCCTTCTTGCGATTGCCGCCGCCCTTGCCCTTTAGGCCGCCCTTGTCCTCCTGCTGCCGAGCCTCTTTCTTTTCTCGCTGCTCCTCTGGTTCTGGTCCAGCGGGTCGCTTCACCTTCCACGCCATCCTCTATCTCGCTCTCGTTGACGTCTGAGGATTGCCAAATAATAAACCGACCCCTTTTGACTGAAAGGGGTCGGTTTCTGCCGGCAAGGGCGGCGGCCTCGACCACCGACTCTTGTCCTGGGAGGTGCGTCCTCACGTGCTCCTGGAAGCTGTCGAAATCTTGAGCCACAAAGCTACAGACCCTGCAGGTAAGATCCTCTGGTAATTGAAGTTCGTGATTCCATTTAGATCTGTCTATGTAGCATTCGCCATATCTGAGGGCCGCCCGTCTTCCGTGGTCGAGAGCTCCGCTTCTGTCTACGAAACAGCTTCTGCACCACGGGCACTGGTTGGTGACTATTATTTTGCTCAAGAGGGGGGTGACTCCGTGTGCCTCTCGACGGTGCGCGATCAGCCCTGCTATGTTCTGGAATCGTTTCCCGCAAGTAACCATGCTGCCCCCTTCCTCCTTCATATGATCGCACCAGTAGGGTTTTGCGTACTGCTCCACCGTCTGCTCCTCCTCCCCCTCCGTGGTCTCCTCCACCTCCCCGTGCCTCTCGATGGCGTTCAAATACGACGGGTCTGTTTTCAGGAAAAGCTCGTTCTCAATGCTGCCCTGCCGTAGTAGACTGATGTCGTCGCTTCGCTCTCGGAACCACGTGGCAAACTCAGGGTCGACTGCCGCTAGCAGCTCCAGATCCTCTAAATACTGTTTGGCCCAGGGGGTCGAGTCGGCGCATATGTTGTAAGTAGGCGAGAGCCTGGGGACAGTGTCAATCCACGCTGTTCCAAAGACTGCCGAAACAACTGCGTGGTGGTCTTCAGGAAATCAGGCCCTATCTCAAGTAGTTGCGGATGCGCCTGACTCGTAGTTGTGTGGCATTGCGGGGTATCTTCCACGACTTAAATACAAACCTCGTCGTCCTGCATCTCCTTTCGCCCTGCTCCGTCTCCCAGCTCATCTCTCCCTTAGACAGCACCCTCAGAAACTTACCAAGCGTCTGGTCTATGATGTTGATGAACTTGTCTGGGATGACGAATGATGATAAACCACTAAGTGCCGCTTCAACTACAAAGGCCTGGAACATTGCCCGTCTAATACATTTAGCTGTAGTTGACGTCCAGAAACACCCGCACAGTCGCCATGCCTGTCGCGCTGCTTGACATCGGCGGAGGACCTCGCTCAACATCCCCTGCTCGCTAGGGAGATGGGGGCCCAGCACTCTCATCTCTCTCAAAGCCTGCCCATGGAGATCTTTAGAGCGTCTAAGTCTACGTGTAGTTTGATAGTGACCGCGCCCGCGAAGATAGAGCAGGTGATTGGTCTTGCTGGGGTTGAGCGTCCACTTACCTCTGGCCAAGTATTCTTCTAGTCTAGCTGTGCTCTCATTCAATATGTGCGTGGCCTGCTCCGCCGACGCTCCCTCTTCGATGACCGTGCTTTTTGTAATATCGTCCATGAATACACTGATCTGGTTGTCTATGAGGGGCTGGTCGGGGTCGCGGGGGTCGCTAGTAAGAAACCAACGATGCTCTCCGTGTTCTCTCTCTCCCTCTCTCCATCCCTTAACTTCCTTATTGTAGGTGTTAATGAAGTCCCGAGGGGCGGTCGTGAAGCCCATCTGTGATCCAGTAGTAGATCGTACGTCAATATTCCCATCAGCCGTTTGCATGTGCATCGTGGCCTGGCGGACTGTGGCGACGGCGAAGGGGACATCCTCTGGGCTGGCCTGTTCTTCTACCTGAACTTCGAGACGATGTCTGTCTGTGGCCGCAAAAGCGTTCGTGCAGTCGTAATTGCTCACTACTTAACTTTTACCATCTCACTCTGCTCTCCATTTGTTGCACATAATAGTGGTGATGATGCTCTCGCGGCTACGATGTGCAATGCCCCCATGAGCCCATGTAGGTGTCCATGCACCTGTGGCTCGAGTAGGGATCCCCGAGTGCCAAGCCATGGAGAATGCGTCGCAGCAGCGCATAATGCGCTGTCCTCCAATGTTGTGCTTTTCCGTTTGCTTTGTCACTCGAGAAGTTCAGGGACCTGTAGCTGTTGAGGGGCATAGCTTGGCAACGTCGTATATGTACTAAATAATCATGTAATACACGTTCGAAGACATAGGTGATGTCGCTCGCTGCAATAGTACCCAGCCCCGCTCTTTCTTCCCTCCTGAACTGTCCGAGGTCTCCCACCGGCGGCGCCTCGGGCTCGCGCGCAGCACCGTCAGGTAGGCGGGCACTAAGCCCCTCTCCCCAATTCCACCCCATCTTCTCTAACAGCCTCCTGCCCACCCTGTACGTGTACTCCGTGGTAAGCTTCTCCATCTCCTCCTCCTCCTCCTCCGTCCTTTCCGCAGCTCTTATCATCCTTCTCTCGGTCATTTCGCTCAGCTTATTCGGGGATTCGAGATTGACAGTGGGCTGTAGTAAAAGCCAGACAGTTTCTGTTGGAAGGCCCCAGCTGGGGTATGCGCGGCGCTTGGCCGCTCCCTTGCAGTAGCGCAGCATCGCCCGTCTGTCTAATTTGACCAGGTGGTGGAGATCAGCATCAGGGTGCACTAGCTCATAATCTTGTTCGCAATGTTACCGATAGTGACTGAGCTCTGCCTCCCAGTCGATGCGTACCCCTGCCAGACCTCCCTCCTTGGCCTCCTTCCCCAGCTCCTCCTCCCAGGTTTGGGTGTTCCAATTTGTTCTGGGGCTGTAATAGTAACGACGTTTAGGTCCTCTCCCATTGCCCTGGTAGATCACTCTGAGCTTGTGCATGTCCGAATAACGCTGTTCCACATATGCATTCCAGATCTGACCCGCTATATCTGCCCGTTTCTTCTTAAGATGCTGAGTACGAATCCGCTTCATACAGGCCGTGATCTCCTTCAAATCCTCACAGACC